AGGAATTGATAAGATAAGAAGTTGTTTGAAAAAAGAAAGAAGAAGATTAAAAAAACAAAGAAGAAAAGAAAAAAAGAAAAGGGAGAGAATGTGATCAGGCAGGAGACTAGAACAAAGCCATATACTTCCAGTAAGTGGTCGTTTTTCTGTTCAGAGAGTTGTTGCTATTCTTCTCTTCGATATCCTGTTGAGTTCATAGGTGTTCAGAATGGTTTGATCCCTATTCAGCTGAATTCCTGAGACCAAACGAAACCCAGGTCTCCTACTCCTCCGTCATCTTGCTCCGCCTCCTAATATTTTCTATTTCTTTATTGAAGGTCTCACTGAGCTCTTCCATTCTTTTCTCTAGCCCAGTGGGCATGATTATTATCATTACTTTAAATTCTTTATCAGGCAGATTGTTTATATCTGTTTCATTTAGTTCTTTTCTGAGGTTTTTTCTTGTTCTTTCTTTTGGAGCATATTCCTGTTTCCCCATTTTCCTTGACTTCCTGTGTTTTTTTCTATGGATTAGATGAAACAGCTACTTGTCCTGAAGTTGAAGGAGTTGTCTTGTGTATGGTGTCCCCTATGCAGACTCTGTGTGCTGTGCTTTTGCTGGCTGGCTGTATGTGCTAGTTATTTTTTAAACCCTGGCTTTTACAGAAAGAATAAAGAAAAAAATGATATAAAAGACAAAAGAAAATAATGAAATAAAAGGACAAAAGGAAAAAAGAAGAAAAGAAAAAAGAGAAGAAAGAACAAAATCAAAAAGAATAAAATTAAAACAAGACATGACAAATTTTAAAATGTAAAAAAAATAGAATAATTAAAAATTTAAAAAAAACACAAAACCACGGCTGGCCTGTTTTCTCTGCCCCAGTCACTGGCCCCAGACCCTGGGCTCACTGAGACTACAAACTCCCTATGACAACTAGATCCATCAGGACCTTCCTGATGTGGCATTAGGACCCTCCATTTGTGGTGTCTGAAACTTCTCTTGACAGCCAAATCCTGCTCCAGCCTGGGCTTTTAAGGCTGAGGGGGAGAGAGCATCTCCACAGTTCCTCAGCCCTTTTAAACTCTGGCTTCTCTTTTCTGTGCCCAAGCATGACTAGGGCTGGTGTGGGCTTGGAGACCCTGGGCTCACTGGAGTTGCAAACTCACAGAGATAACTGGGCACTCCCATTATGGTGTCTGAATCCTGCTGCAGTCTAGGATTTTAAGGTGGGATGGGAATATAAATTGGCTTGTTCTCCAGTTTCCCTGACCTGGAGAGCTTTCTTGCAGCTCTTCTGCAGCCTGGCAGAGTTCTATTGTTGTCTGTTTTCTGTGCTAGTTGCTCTTTTAAACCGTGATTTGTTTTTCGTGTTTTTTGTTTTGTTTTGTTTTTTGTTTTTTCTGTGCCCAAAGACAGAGGGGCCTGTTCCTGGTCCCTCAGTGCTATCCCTCCCTCCCCACTGCCATTTGCATTGTTAGGAGTGGGAGTTCCCTTTGTTACCATCCATCTTTATTGCTGTTCTCTTGCCATTCTCTCTGTCTTTAGTTGTTCAGTAGCTGTTCAGTCAATTTTCAGTTCTTCACAAAGATTTGTTCTATTAATAGGTGTAATTTGGTATGATCTGTGGAGGAGGTGATTTCAGAATCTTCCTACATCACCATCTTGAACCAGAACTCTATTATACCCATTTCCAAATGAGGGAATTGAATCACACATGTCAAAGCATAATTCTTAGCACTCAAATAGCTCATAATTTATTAGGTAGACAGACTAAATGAATCCAAGCCATTATAGGTGTCACCATGGAGGTCTGATGAGAACACAGACGAAAATGAGGTGAGGAGAAGTGAGAACTGTGTTTTCATTTGACACTCACAATCTCCCTCTTGCATAAGGGGTGTTAAGTGAGTTACTCAGGTCATATAGTGAGTAAGGGGTATCTATGGGCTTCTACCTCCTGACTTACTGCAGTGCCCAGCTAGCTCCCACTACTGCCCCTTCTAATTTTCAATAAGCTGTTTAATTACTAAAGAAGTATATCACCACTTTATCTAGTATTTGGTGTTTAAAATCAGACCCTCTGAAAAGTTATAGTTCTTTATTACAAACTAATGCATGGTTATGGGTGACGTGTCAGTGTCAGTTGTCAGCAACTCTTTAGCATGTCAGTGTGTTTTGGGAGTAGGAAGAGGTGGAGAGATGCTGGTAGCAGTGGAAAAAGGCCTGAAGAGAGTATGTACATGCCTTTCATATCAATGCATTTCTTTAATAGGATCTGGAGTCAGGATCTGAGAGTGGAGCAGAGACCATTTCAGTAAATCAGACACAAATAAATTTGTCTTCTAACACCGAATCTACCGACCTACCATCTTCCACCTCAGTGGCCAGTTCTGGAACCAAACCCAAGTCTATGGTAAGTTATAAATGATAACAGTCAGTTTTAACGTGAAATGCTGATAATCATAAGGTAAGAGTTGATATCTCATCCATTCAGTATAGAAGAAATACTCTTTGAGTCTTAGTTTCAGTGACTTGATAGCATTTAATTAAGTACAATCCAACATACGTTGTTTGCTTTATAACTGATAACACAAGTACTTCACTAAAACAGGTCATGGTTCTAGAATTATGCAAAATATGGTATCAAATTTTGTTGCTGTATACTCAGATCTTTAAAGAACCAAGAGCAAAAAAATCTAGAGATGGTTCTCCCTGAATTATTATCCTGACCACATCACTTACTAGTCAGAAAATCGCCTAAGACTAGATAGAGAGATAGAGATATATAAAATCACACGCATCATAAATTTTATGTGGGTATTAAATGACATAGTTCATGTAAAGTACCTAGTGAAATGCTTGGCACAGAATAAATACTGAGTAAATGTAAGCTACCGTCATTATTATTATGATGCTTCATCAACTTTACAGTGCTACCAAAACAAATAAAAGGAGAATTACCACATGTAATAATATAGCAGGGTGAATTGTGACTAAAAGACATTTTCCTTTAAGTAAAAAGTTGAATGGCTACAGGAAAGCAGTATTTGACTGTAAAAGGTAACATTTATGGAGGAAGTAATTACTACTTCAAATATCTGAAGTCCCAGCAGCTCCAAAATAACCTTTCCTAGTTTAGTGAAAATCACAGTGGCATATTGTTTTTTTTTTAATGCCCATGTTAGCTTAACACAGAGAAACAAGTTTAGATTCTTGTTTGCCTGCCTTTAAAATAAAAGGCAAATCTGAAATAGGACTCAAAAGAGAATACTCTGAATTTAACATGATAGATATGTTCAATTGCAAGAATATCTAGAGCATTTTTTAATAGAATAAATATTGAATGCACTGTGCTAGATGAAAGAGTGGGAGTGGAGTAAAACATATTTTCCATCTTTAAACAGCTCACAATCTAGCAAAGCGGGGTAGGTAAGTAAACAGTGAAATTCAGTATCATACTATATGGTAGAGCTGAAAAATTGGAAATAGGAACCAGTGATCTGCTACATAATGCTATTGTTGGGTACAATGAAAAAACAGGGTCAAAAATAATGTGTGTCAACAGGCGGCTGCAATGAATTGGTGCTCTTCTTTTTCATAATGGGTAAAGAAGGTTAAAATGCAAAATTAAAATATGAAACAAAATGATCTCACTTCACCACATTCTTATTGAAGTAAAAGGTCAAAGCCTTTCAATGGTTTTAAACTGAAGGTTTGGGAACCATTGGAGCATTGGCTTTTTGAACATTGGGACAGGTATGGGGCTGACATATAAGAAAAAAGTAGAGAGGAAGGTGAATTCACTTTTTAAAGGTATTTATGCTTAAATTCTCTTTTTAAAGCACCTGCTATTATCCTGAAGAGTTCTTTTCTCTCTGATATTTATTCCATGCTCATCTTTTACTTTAGAATAGTTACCATTGGTATCTGCTATTTCTCGCTTGAAAGATACATATTTTAGTGTGTGGTCACCTTATAATTTGTAACAATTTATACAACTTTGTGCAATTCTGTCCTTTTTCTTCAATACCCCTATGTTTATAAATGTGCTCATGTTTATAAATGCATTTCCACCAAGATATGTCTATATATTTTTATGATAACCTTCTACAGTAAAGTTTTAGAATGAAAAACATAAAACCATCAGTTTTGGGGGGACTTTAATCCTTTAAAATACTTGAAGATGCGTCTGTTTTCAAATTTTTCATGTTTGCCATATCAACTGACCGAACTATTCACCCCACAGGCAAAATTAAGAAATACTAAAATTGGGGCACCTGGGTGGCTCAGTTGGTTAAGCGTCTGCCTTTGGCTCAGGTCATGATCTCAGGGTCCCAGGATCCAGCCCCACATCAGTCTCCTTGTTCAGCAGGGAGCCTGCTTCTCCCTCTCCCTCTGCACACACACCCCCCGCCCCCAGCTGGTACTCTCTCTCTTTCAAATAAATAAAATCTTAAAAAAAAAGAAATACTAAAGTCAATTATTGAACAGAAACATACTTTTCCGTGCCCCCAAAACAAATGTTTACTGAAAAGTTGTCAACTTTGGATAAAATTGTGACTCTCTACCCAGCTGTTCAGATGTGACTTGTTACCTGGGCGCACAGTCACAGCTTCATAGTGATGCCACCCCTCATTAGTCAGTGAGCACTGAGAATCATTATGCAGTAGACTTCGCCTCCAAACACAATATTCCACTTCAAGACAACCAAAACTGCTTAACCCATCTTGACCAATACCACAGGCAGTTAGAGAACTGTACAGGAAACTCTGTCCAGCTACTGAACTATAATTTAGTAAAATTCTCCAGCAGGCCATGAGAAGGACCCAGAAAGAAACACTCCACTGTCAAAGACAACTGACTTTTAGGAAATTTCTCAAAGAAAAGGCCAATAATTAAAATAGCTTGAAAAGCAAGTTTTTGTTTTGGGAGAAGGGTTGTTTTAATGTGTGTGTGTATTTAATTTTGTGTTATTATTGGTGTTGATGCTTTTGAGTACAATTCCTTTTTACTACAGTTTGAAAATAATTCTTTGGCTATATGGGTCAGTTCTATGTTTTCAGTTGTTTCTGGGTAGGAATATTAGAATGAAGAATTTTACCTATTTTGTCAGAGAGTAAACTGATATTTACCCTGTCAGTTTGGAGCTTGGGAAATTATCTATTTGTGTAATGGCAGTCTGGCTACTTTGTGAAAAGCGAGAAAGCTCCAGTATCCTACAGAGCCATTCTTTTCACCAGGAACTAAAATTTCAAATTTAATATTAAGTAGAAACATTAAATTCTAAGAACACCTACTTCTAACATCCACTCATAATGAACTAAATTTCTGCTCCATAATGTCATATTTTTACAAAATGTTTACTTTTATTTCAGAATTATTTAATGTTACATTTGATTTGCTGCTGTGAAATCTATTTATAATGGTGACTAACTATCACAAATATTTGGCTTTCCTTTTGTATGTAAGACCTCTGGGTTTCTACGTGCCTATTTTTTCTATAAGATTTCTTTTATATGTATCATTAGAACAGGACCAATGAGTAATCTTCAGATTTTTCATGAAGACTATGTATATATCATGCCAAAGAGTGAGCACTAAAGTAGATTTCTGTGATGTAGTTCACACAAAAATGAAAAAGTTGAAAGGTAGGATACCCAGTACCTACCAAAAAACACATTAGAAAAAAGAAATCTAGTGCTTCATGTCCAAAAAATCACCAATTTCTCTCCCAAAATCTGTGATTTTTTCTTTTGAAACAGTCTCATAATGCCTTTCTTGAGAGACATTTTCACAAAAACCCATGATTAGTCATATTACTTTTATACAAAGTGCTATGACTCATTCTAGAATGATATACTGACATCCTTCTGGCCATGGTATCAGTTGCTTAAGTTGTTCCCGTATTCATTAATATAGGGTTGTTACATGAAAGATTTTAAAGCAGGACACTAAAACCTCAGGGGTTTTGTTGTTTTTTCTGGAAATACTTGTAAGTGTAGGTGTTCATTAAATTACTATTCATCATACATTTATGAAGAGAGAAACCAAGCTCTAGAAAATAAAGAAAACAACATATTTCACTTGTAGAATAAGTAACTGGAGGAACAGGGACAGTCTAGCATTCTGTAGAATAACCAAGAGCATCGTTAAAGAGCAATGCAAGGATATGGTTTCAATTTAGTCTAAATTCCTCTTCCCTCTTTGTCCCAGAAACTCCCTTAGTTGCCTTGTGATAGGATTCTAATAACAGTGATGAAACCCTCAATCATTTGGGCATGTTAGAACCACAGCTAGACAGAGCAGCTTTGAGTATGTCCTAAACTATCTAAAGGAATTTTGAAACATATTGGCATTCACATCAGAATGTATTATGTACTGGAAAATAACCCTTTTATTGAAGACATCAAAAACAGCAGAAATTATTAACCTTCGTTATTGTAATTGCTACAGAGTAAAAAAGACAGATACATCTTATCTTAGTTCAAGGTGGCAACAGTAGGTCTAATTCCACAGATTGAATACACCCCTTATCTTTTCGTCATTACTACCAAAATCGCAATGGGATAGATGAGGGAAAACATCAGCTGGTGGAAGGGTGGGAGCTTAGGGCAGGCAGAAGGATGCCCAGCCAGACACTGCCCACTCCTTTAGAGAGCAGTTGAGAATAAATCTTGCCTAAAGGCTGCCATGGTGTGACAAAAATAGAGCTCGGGAGTATGCCCTCATTACAGATCATGATCATTTCTAGATGACTTTTAAAAAGACTCCCAATACTATAATCAACATAATAGCCCAACTGCTTTTACTGACAGTTCCAAAACTTGCATGGTCTACTCTATTGTTGAAGAGAACAATCTCTCAATATGACCCCCAACACAACTGATTATGCTGTAGTCAGTTTAGTGAGGCATTTACATACAACCTATTATTTTTCTCCCCTCTGCATGATAGAAGCAAAATAATAATTTTCTAGTGTGACATTTACTTGTCAATAGCACTGTCCTCCCTAAAAGGTATAAATGTTTTGAGGTGCAGAGAAAAGGAGGGTGATGATGGCACTAGGTAAGAATTTTGACATGTCATTTTTAATAAATGTTATTTAAGTTCAAGTCTTTAAAAAACAGGATCTTATTTTCCCTTTTTTCAGCCAGTGAGATACGGTCTAATCTACACTGTTTTTGAAAGTATCAATTTCTGTTTTGGGCACTGTGCAAATGAGAACCATAAATTGTCACTCATAGTATTTCTATGAATCTGTATCTCTCCATGCTAAAAGCAGAGACAACAAAAATATGAACTTTAAGAAAGACCCGCAAGTTTTATCCAGGTAATATTTATGGAGAAAAGCATTTTCCCTCTGGAATAATAGTATCAAATAGAAAAAGGACAAACATTTATGGAGAGCACACT